CCAGTCTAAAGCTGATGATAGTCACAACAGTAAGGCCTTCAGGGTTTTTTGTTTGTTACCAGAATTGAACTCAGGGGTGCCTAACCACTGAGCTACTTTCCCAGCCCTTTTTTATATTTCATTAAGAGACTGGGTCTTGCTAAGTTGCTTAGGGCTTCCCTAAGTTTCTGAGGCTGGCTTTAAACCTTCCATCCTCCTGCCTCATTGTTCGGAGATGCTGGGATTATTGGCCTGCTGCATCATGCCTTCATATTTTAAGGCCAAGGAGTAGTCTTTGGAGAAAACCTACAGGGGGGTTAAGAGAAAAACAAAGCCAGAGGTCCGAAAACATACTAGTACTGTTGAGGAAGGGGAAGAAATCGTGATGTAAAAGTTATGTAGTCAGCATTATGAAATTTTTATGTGAGGTAAAAGAAAATGAAATCTGAGAAATCCTCACTAATCTGGTTGACACTGTTATCCAGAGTGGGAGGGTAGGGTATGCATTAGAGATCTGAGCTGTTTTGCCCATGGCAGTAGGCAGTTTAAACTATAGTCACCCATTTATTCATACTAATTTCTTAGATAAATTGGGAATTGGCTACTTAATTTGAGCAGTGGAGAGGGCAGAGAAGTAGGAGTATAGATGGAGGTGAAAAAGCAGTACTTAGTTGGCAACTCTCTAGAGATACCATCTTAGGGGTATATGAGGCAGAACACTTAAGAAGGGACAATAATTAGCTGGTATCTAAATTAGTATTTTCTGATCCTACTGGGTGTCATGAAATAATGTTTCTTAGTAGAAACCCAAGTGTTGTTTGTTGATTGGGGATAAAGGTGACTCAGGAGAAATAAAGCTTTGTCTAATTCTCCTGATACAAAGAGAAAAGAAGCCAACTAAACACATGTTGGATTGATCTGTTTTTATATGGATAAAAATGAGAAGAATTCTGTAGAGATGTCAACTCTTTTTTTTTTTTCTTTTGGTCTTGAAACCTAAAACAAGGTTGGTGGCTGGGGAGAAGGGAATCAGATCCTTAATTTTACAAAAGAGCTAGCAGTTCATGACAGGGTCCACAGCCTGAGTGACCTGTATTCCCAGACAGTTGCCCCTGTCTTGACCCTGTTTGTTTCTGGTTCAGTTGTCTGTGCCCCTGGGGTAAGGCTAAAATAGAGGACAATTGGGAAGCCAGCCATAGACTACAAAATAAGCCTTCAATTGTCATTTTAATGGGCCTACCATTTCACCTTAATTTAATTTCCCTACCTCCAAGAATATATCTTGTTTTGTAAATTCACAAGCTGACACATCATCCAGAGAGACTATTTATTTTCCCTATCTTCCTCACACAAAGGCTGAGATTATTCTTGCAACAGTAATCAAGATCTTCTGTCTTTGGGTTGCAAAGAAAATGCATTCAACTGTACTTGAAAGAGAAAATTGAAATTCGGCTACAGATGATAAAGCACATTCTCCTTCTCTTTCAATTTTGTCTGCTCATATCAGCTGAACTGCATTAATAAAAGCAAGGGGTGCCTGTTGCTAGCTATTTGGCAAAAAAGACAACATTCGATTGCCCCAAACTGTGAATTAGGTGTTTTGAGGTTTATTCCTATTATAGAACTTTGTGCTTTTAGTCCATTTGTGTGTGTGTGTGTGTGTGTGTGTGTGTGTGTGTGTGTGTGTACCCGTACTTGAGTGGTACAAAATGAATCAGGAAAACAGTCCCTAGAGGAAGATTTTTCCACTAGCTTTAATAGCTGAGCAACTGTGAATCTTCCAGAAAATGATTAAATCTCAAGTGTGACTGGCTTGACTATCTGCCTCTTGTAACCATTCTATATTACTGGCGTAATTGTTTTAGGAAGCAATCCAATAGACTTATTAGAATACATAAAGCTAGCTTTAATTATTTATTGCATTTATTCAGTTTTTAATTCATGATATGGCCACTGGGTGCATTTACCAGTACCACAGCCACCACAATAATAATAAGAATCCAGAAATAAAAGTAGGTTGGCCCCTCTGAGATAGAGATTTCCACAAACAGAGGATATACTGTAGGTTTTTCTTTTTTCTCATCAAATAGTCTCATGGGCATGCTGATTGTGAAACCACAGGCAAACTTAAAGAAATGCAAGGGTAAGGACAAAATAGGAGTTTATGCTCATAAACATAAATAATTACTTATTATTCAATAAATAATTCTTTTTGGCCAGCCCTTAACAGAGACCAGTAGCACAATTCTAGCCAAAGTTGTGAAGTAGGAATCCTCATTTTCAGGTTTTTATAGTGTCCTCTTGTGTGTGCTTAATGTTATTACCTTCTCTGGAGGCCCAGTTGGATTTTTCCTCAGTTCTTCAACTGAGGAGATCTCATGAGGGGATAAAATTTATTCTCACTCAAGTTTAAATGATAAAGGTGGTGATGATGCAAAAGAAAGAACTTTTGAGATCAGTCAGCCTGGCTTCAAATCTAATTTTAATCATTTTCTAGGGAAGTGATTTGTAATTAATGACTTTTCCCTCAGGGACATCAGGGTTTCTTTTCCTTTTTTTTTTTTTTTTAATGGCCTGTGTGTGTGTGCAGCCTGAAGCTTGTACAATTTGGGGAGTATTTATGGAAACAAAACTATATATATAAACAGTAAGAAAGTAAATATTTATAATATATATAATATATATATAATATATATATAAATATATATAATATATATAAACAGTATATATATAATATATATATAATATATATATATATAAAGTAAGAAAGTAAATATTTATAATTACACACTAACATGACAAATACAAAAAATGTAGAAAAAACAATTAGAGTCAATTTTTAATTGACTCTAATACCTTTATAATTTTTAATTTAATTTTATAATTCTTCTTTCTTTTTTTTTGTGGCCAGATACTCACTCTTTGATTCCTTAATTTTATTACATCTTCCATGGAGAAAAGAAATGTAATTTTGACTTGCAGATTTGTTAGGTTGCAGAAGTTTCTTCTACTTTGTCACTTATTTTTGGAAATGCTGCATCTTTGACTTTATATATAGGATTTTGCTCAGTTTCATTCTTGTTCAGGAATAAGCCCTGGAAAACTGTAGCATTTTGAAAATTCCTTGCATTCCCTCATCCATGCTATGACTGCCTCAATAGCCAGTTTTACTTTACCAGATCCTTGATATCTGAAAACAAAAAGATGACCCACACTAATAAAAGTAATTAAATCATTTATTTATTTATTCATGATTGAATGCATTTATTCTACATTTATTTAGTACCCCCTCTCCCCCACTTTATGTTGGGTTTAGAGAATAAAGAAATGAAGGAGGCATTTTTGTTTTTACACCATTCACAAACTTGTATAAATGGAGATTTTTCTAGCATAATCTGAACAGTTCAACACCAAAGAATGAAAATGAAGATTTTTTTAAAACAGTGTGAACATCAAAGTGGGACAAAAGTCTGTGAAAACTCAATAGAGAATTCCAGTTGCATAGTATAATGGAGAACATGTGTGTTAATATATTTTCAAGAACTTTCCCATGAACACTAATCTTGTAAGAGACTACGAAATGAAAGGATTTTTATAGCCAAATAAGTTTGGAAGACATGAAATACTATATCTCATTGATAATCAGTATACTCTTATTAAGGTTAAGTCTCTAAGACAGCCTTCACCTGAGGAACCTATTTAAGTTTGTAGATATTTTCAAATCTTGTTTGCCCTTGAAAAAAATGATTTCCATAACAATGAAACACCATACCAAATATAGATTGTGGTCTTGGGGATACAACCACCTATTCCAGACCTTATTATCTGAAGATATATGATGCTTTGACTTTCTCTTTTTATAAGAATTTTTTTTTGGTATTTGTTAAGGTTGATATGGGGAAGAAAATGAAAATTACCTTTTCATATGCCCCGACCTCTATCTTCCATATAAGATGATGGCAAGTCCTCAAAGTAACTAGTATTCAAGCAACGCATACACATGCTTCAGTTTCTGTTTCATGGCCAGGTCAATAAGCATGTTTTATAAAATGTGCCATAAATTCCATCATGAATAATAACAATGAAGATGTATGATATTGATTCAAAAGATGTCTGTCTCTACTGTTTACATATTAACTTATGTTACATTTCTGATGGAATTGTCCTGCTAACTTTATCAAAATATCAGTGAAGTCCAGTCAAAGACCAGTGCAACATTTATTTCATTTTCATTTTAGTCTGTAGAATAATCTATCACATTTATACGGATAGTCCCTGCAGTTAACATCAAAGTCAGGAAAACTCACTGATGAGCTACTGCAGTTAACAAGCAGGAGTCCTTGACTTCTGTGGGAAAAATGTAATCTCTTTTTTCTTTTGACATGAGTTAAGTAGATTGTTCTTTGGAATCTGTGGGTTATACTCAAATATAGTTCTTAGAATTTGCCTCTCCTGAAGGATGCCCAGTGATATCTAAAAATACACTTAAGTGAATAGGGTAAAAGAGCAGGGAAATAAATGAATACGTAAGATGTCCATTGCACAGAGCTGGAACAAAAGAAAGCCTGCTTATATGTGAGACTCATTTTCTCTTCACTGCATCACAATAGCATGCCTGAAATTTAATTTGGTTTAATAATGCTCACAACCAAGCCCAGCTTTCAGGATGTTACCCTGAAAAATTTGTGGTCTCTTTTAGCATTTGCTTTATTCCACTGCTGTTCCCTAATGACATAAAAGGGAAATAATGGAATAAAAGGAAAGAAGCAACGGTGGGCTAAGAGTTAAACAAAATAATCAGGAATGTGGAGACATTCCTTAGTCCACTACATAGATTTCAAACGGAAAATTTAAATTGAACCTATGGAAATATCTGTTTGTAAGGCTCTGAGGTAAAAAATGTGAAATGGAAACTTTAGACAGTTGTGTTATTAAAAGTACATCTTTGACACTTTGTTCAGATAACTTTTGGAATATTGTTCTCCTAATTTTCCCCTTATCTTATTGCTGTTTCTTTTCAGCCCTTCTGCTAGATCCTCTTCTTCATTCTGAACTCCAAAGGTTGAAATACCAAGACTCTGTCTTTTGTCCTCTTTTTTTCTTAAGGTAAGTTTATTCATTACATAATCTGTTAGTTACCATCCATATGCTAAAGACTACACAAATTCTCTAAGACCTGGCCTGAATTCTTACATTGAATTTTGATTCATATCCAGCTGCCTACCTAAATTTAATATATCTAAACTTGAATTCTTGATTTTTCTCTGCCAAATGTATGTCTACTAGTGTTCTTCTTCAATTGTACGGTAACATCTAGTTGCAATTCCCATTGTCACTCTTGTTTCACATCCCATGTCAGCAAAACTGTTGGTTCTACAACTTTTGAAATTTATTTTCAATCTGACTGCTCTTCTTCATTTTCAGTGTCACCACATTAATTTAAGCCATAATTATCTCTAGCCTGAAATCTTACATTATCCTTCAACTTCTTACATAGAGAATTATCTCCATTTAGCTTTGCTTCATGTGGCCAGAAAGTTCTATCTAAAATGTTAATATTCCATTACCTCTGTATAAAACCCTCTGATGACTTTCTACCATACTCAAATTCAAAATCTTTAGGTCTTCAAAAGCATTGCATTACATCTGCAGACTAACTACTGTATTCTTAACTATTCTCAACACTTCTGCTCTTCATCTAGGAATTTATATAGTTTGCTCTCTCACATCTTTTGGTTTGTGCTTTAGTATCAGCAATCAGATTATTAACTGACTATCCTGCTGAGAGTAATATACTTCTTTTACCTTTTGTCTTTATTGCCTATATCTCAGTAAAATGTAAAGCCAATGATGGGGAAAACATTGTTAGATTGTCTCAGTTATCCTCTTTGTATACTGAAATTCTAAAATGTTCTGGCCTAGAGACTGAGTAGATAAGCACTCAGTAAATATTTAGGGAATGAATGGAAAAAAAAGCATCAGTTATGTTTTAGGGACTCCATTTACTTTAGAGCAACTGCTTTTCTGTTGGAGAAGGGAAAAGGAGTATCTGTAGTCAAATCCATTACAGTTGCCAGCCAGCTGCTGGATCCAGCTTTTAGCTGCTAATCTCTGCTAGAACAGAAGCCAAACCTTGTGATTATGAAAACATGGCATATATTAAGGAAGGTGAAACTTACTTTTCTGCTCAGACATTCCAGAATAACATAAAGCTTCAGGACTTATTCCAGATTCTGTTTATTGTGGGGCTTAGATCTGTTGACTTCTTCCTTCAGGTAGATCTGTTATTTTTGGAACTGGGATCAACTGGCCTTTAAGGTTAGAAATTTTGATGCTTTTTGATGCTGGAATTTGTTTTTTTTGGATAAATATTCCCCCCTCATAATAGAAGTAATGCACACTAGACTATTTAGGAAATACTAGAATAATAATAGTAGAAAGTTTCAGGAAGATAATTAGAATTCAATACCTCAGAAACCATTGGTAAAAATTTTGATGGATTCCTTATCAGTTTTATTTTGGAGTTAATGTGTATATGTGTTTACATTGTTGGGGAAAGCAACCATTATGAAGCACTATTTGTATTCAGAGTCTTTTTTCCTGTCATAAGTAAACTTAATAAAACAGCTCAGGGGAATTTGACTTTCCGTCCTCAAATGAGCTGCTCCCCAGAGGCATTCCTTTTACCATTAACCTTTGCTTGTTGTATTCTTGTCTTCTTTCTCATATCTTTCTAGCCTTTCTCTCTTAATAATTGAGAATAATGCCCATGGCAGCCTGGTGTATATCGCTTCTCAATTTGTCATTTTTGTTGTTGTTTCTCTTACAAACCAGAGAAACAGTGGAAAACAGAAATTAATAAGTGAAAATAAGAGTTAAAATGTGTGAGAATATCATTTATTTGAAGAAGAGTGTAGTGGTGCTGTGATGTCAGGCCTGGTGGACATGGAAATAGTTGAATACTAACACTGTTTTGGCACAAGGCCTAACTCCAGAGAACAGATGGCAAAAATAACAGTAGGACTGCACTTTAGGATCCAATACCAGATCTACCAAGGAAGATGGTAAAAGCCTCACCTAGGGGGAGTATAGATAATAGGATAATGGGAGAAGGACATATGGGAAATATTTATAAGAATGGTTTAACTAGTTCTATTGGATGGATCTTTCTCCCTGAATTTGTTTAAATAGTATATTATTATTATAGGAACACTAGCAAGCTACCACACATAAAGATATGTCTTTGTCTTTGATATTTGTTTTATGGTGTTGATGGTATGTATCGTGGGGGATTAGTGAAAGTGTAAAAATTAGACAGGTATGAAAGTGATATCAATGCCGTATGAAATGTTTATGAAAACTTAGTAATCTGTCATCTGTTCTATTCATTATTGTTATTTAATTTGTGGTGTATTATCTCTGTGAGTAGAAAGCATATCTAATATTTAAAAACATTTAATTTTTTAAGTTAACATAAGCAAGCAAGAAATAGAAAATCAGAGAGAACAGGAATTAAGTATAACTTATTTTCTATAAATCCAAAGGAATTCACTGAAGTCTTGGTGGAATGCAATCTATCACCTGCAGGTATCCCCTGAGATACAAGTCTTTGTCTCAGAGGAAAGCATCAAACCCTATGGCACCTACTAAGGGATTCCATTTTGCTACTACCGTTATGCTCAGAATACAGAAATACAGAGCATGTGAGTTATTGCTTATCAGTAAAGTTCTGATGGTTAATGTAAAATGCTGTTTTCCAGATGTTTGGGTCATTAAAAGCACAGCAACCAGGCTTTTCATTTGGGACATCTGTCTTCAGCAGGGATTGGCAGCCTACTAGTTCTTTTCTGATTAATGGCTACAGATAAGAGTCATGTCCAGAAGATGTCAAAGGAATCCCTAGACTAGGCCAACTCTTGTGTTTGTTTTCATTCTCTAGGCTGCCTGCAGTGCACAGGTGCTAACTGCTGAAATGACAGAATTGGTAAAGAATCAGGTATAAGATAGCTTGCTTGCTTGGTATGAGTTGCCAAATAAGACTTGATTATCTTATCTCTATGGGACATTTACTCTTAAGAGTAGTTTATATACATTATCTTAGATGAATCTTTTAAGACCTGAGCCTGGGATAGTAGGTAGTGTGCAGATGAAGGATGTGAGGGAACCTTTTTTAAAAAAATTTTCTCACAAACATCAACTCCATTAGGACTAGAATAAAGTTCTGCTTCTTAAATGAGCTTGCTTGCTTTTTCTATATATATATCCTTAGACTAGGAGGACATGAGTATCTTTCTGTGGAAAATGCTTATGAAAATTAATACCTTAAAATGCTTCTCAGAAAACAAAACAAAATAGGAAGAATAGGATGAGACTGGATTCATCCCTTCTTTCCCTCTCTTTCTTTGTTCTTTCCTTCCTTTCTTCCTATTTGATTTTTATTAAGTCCTCTTGATGTGAAGCACATGTAGTGGATCTTGCTTTTTAGAATTGTAAAACAATAACAACACAAAAAATAGCACCAATTATCTTTTTATGTTGCTGAGATTTCTACCTGGAGAATAAAGCATATCTGTGATTTTTTTCCACACTAATTAACAGTTCTATCCAGTAGGTGGACTCCTTCATGTACACATTAGGGGTTTTCTTTTTTCCTTTAATCAAGTATTCTTTATATCTATAAAGAGGTATTTCCTCCTATTGAACTTCTGGTTTTGTCAGTTTACTCTCTGAAAGACCAAAATTGACTGAGTTTCTGCCTATTCCTTTTTGAGAAATGATTTCATCTTTAGTTACTCTTTTCTTTCATTTTTGTTATAGTATGTATCTTGATATTTAATTTATTAATCAGGGTTCTTTTGCAGTAACTTGCTGTTTTTTATGAGTCTAAATTTATCACCTATATCAAATTTTTTAAAAACAAACTGCATTTTTGAGCTTTTAGAAATTACAGTATATAAATAATGTGAATAATTATATATTAACATCAAGGACCAATAATTATATTTGTGAGAATAAATAGGTTCTTTTTCATATTATTCTGGAATGAGTTTTTTTTTACTGTGTTTATTACCAAGGAATTTGGCATGAATCATTTTTAAATTGATCCCTGTAACTTCAACTAGGCTCTCCTGAAGTTGGCTAACTTTTTGGAAATTTCTTTGTCTCTGTGGCCACTGGGACAAGTGTAGATTAACATTATACATTATCAATCTTTTTTTCTCCCTAAACCATTTTCACTTCTATCTGTTGAAAATATTAATTCATCAGTGGTCCTTAGCCATGAATATGTCTTCATAGTAAAATTTTTGATAGTTAATTCAATGCATTTATTCTAGCAAGAAGAATTCTCTTGACCAAGAAAATCAATTTAGGAAAAGTCTTCTTTTTTCTTAATACTTTTGTACAGTATTTTTGGTGACTGGGCCAATGATGGTAACTTGTGATATGAAACCAAACTTTCCTAATAGTTCATTACCTTCCTGTGTATTATAGGTTTAACTTTCATTGGAAGAATTAAATGTTGGATAAATGGGGAAAAAAAGACAACCCCTGTCTCACATAATGAATCCTAATTTACCAGCTTTTATTCTAGATTCTAAACTCATTGAAGGGAATAATTGTATCATATTTGTAATTTTATGTATCCTAACATGATTTCAGTCATAGAGGTATACTGTTCTGCCTATTATCACTAGTTGGAAGATTCTTCTTGAATAGAATGGTTCATGCTGACTAACTTAGCAAATAAAACAGTAAGTTGCTGTATGGATACAGATACACAAAAACCATGGTATTAAAAAAAACATGAGTACACCAAGCCAAAGAAGGTAATATATCATTTGGAATTTGTCAGTATGTTTGTTAACTAAGAAACCTATAGCATTACATAAATAGTCTTACATGTATATGTTATTTTTCCTTGAGAAAAGGTATGTTTCAAAAATTTTATATTTCTATTTCCTGATACATAGCTTTATACATAGTATTATCATATATTTTGTGTGTTATATGCATATTTTATTTTCCTCAACAAAATACAATTTAAAAATAAGTAAAACTAGTGTTAAATGCACATTTATATCATGAAGTGCCTTAGATATTATAGC